CTATAGGCGTAAGCCCCTATAATTAATTACCCCTCTCGATCACGAGAGAGAACTTTCGATTAAGGCTAGTCGTCAATCAGATACGTAAAAATACATGTTATCTGGCATATAGTAGCAGCATTGGGTTTGGATTTGAGAATTTGAAGGTTTTGATATTTAAAATAGAAATTTCACTACCTTTCACTTAAAGCAGATGGTGGGAGAATAGATGATGGACCCGATCAAAATCTCATGGTTCCGTCGTCCCGGGCCATCGTGGTCCCTGGTATACTTAGTCAGAGGAGGTAGTCGACCTAACCTGACAGAAGGATCCTTGTCGGCAGCCATGGGTTGCTTCGTCCGAAGGGACCTTGTAGACCGGGGTTGAATGTTTGTCTAAGGGGACAAATTTGAATCCACCTTAACTAACAGAGAGCTTTGTGCCCTATCGATCATATCCTATTGATTCATATCTCAAGGATTTGATGCCAATAAGGAACGTATCGGCGCTGGCCATAACCGGTATTTCGTGGTGCCATTTGGCCGCAAAACCACTCGGTTCAGAGGGCCCCGGGTCATAACCGTTCATCCTGCGGTGCCATTTGGCGGTGAACCGCCGGTCAGAGGACACGTACCATGTCCTTATCGGCAGGAGATTGTTTGAGAATGAATCCTAGTGATATTTTCGACTAGGCATTTGACTCTTTGTGAGCTGAAGTAAATTTTAATTTGTCTACCCTGACAAACTGTTGCGGATGGTGGATGGATTTTACTTTGTGTTTGATAGATTGATTTTTATTTTAAATATATGGATTTGAATGACTTTGGATTTTGCTGAGCATTGGACTTTGTGGGGCTTTTTGGATTTGTGTGGATATTTGAGTGGAATTTGAAATATTTGGAATTAACCCCTCCGGTTGATGTCTGCATTTAACACGGCCATCATCGGGGTGTTTGGGGTCATTTCCATTTGTATCTTGAACCTTGTCGACTCTGTCTGGCTATCGACAGAGGATCGGGTTTCTCGTAGGCTTTGTGCCTTTGATTAGTGAATTCTCTTGATTGTAGGCATTGAAGGCCTAATATGAATGTATTAAGATAAATATGACGGTCGCCACAACCGTATATTTGTTTGTTGGTTCGAACCCTGTTGACTTCTATTGACCCGTATAGAAGGATCGGTTTCGAACTTGAATTCACTTGTCAACCCGTGCAGCATCCCTAGACGTCACGTGTGTACCAATAACACGCTCGTCGGGGCCCATGCGGGTATTTGGGGGCATTTTATAATTGAACCCTGTCTACTCCTTTATACCTGCTTAGGAGGATCGGGTTCAAATTTAATAACCCGCGCAGCATTCCTAGACGTCACGTGTGTACCAATAACAAGCTCGCCGGGGCCCATGAGGGTGTTTTGGGGCATTTTATAATTGAACCCTGTCTACTTCTTTATACTTGCTTAGGAGGATCGAGTTCAAATTTAATAACCCGTGCAGCATCCCTAGACGTCACGTGTGTACCAATAACACGTTCGCCGGGGCCCATGCGGGTGTTAATTATATACCCCCTTTTAGTGTTCCTATGTGTATATATATTATGGTGCATGTGCGGGGGTATTTTGAAAGTATTCGTAGACGCCTTCTGTCCGCTTGCATAGAAGTTGAGGATACGGTGGCGTGGCGTAGCAACTTTTGAATTGAGTTGTTTGCTGCTTCGTACAGGTAGACTGTCGTGCACTACTTGCATGATTTATGCAAATGGATTGTAGTGCACTAACTAATCTCCTGCTTCGGGCTGTAATACTTGACTTTATAACAATTCTTTTACTTCTTTGCTCTTTGTCTTTGATCTTCGATTGCACTTCTAGGCATCAGATCCCCTACAAATACTTGTAGGTATTTGCATTTATCACTATATGTTGTATGCATGACGAGCTTCTTTATGCCTTTGCTACAATCTTTCAATATTTGTTGTACACCTACTATTGTTGTTTATAGGCATGTAGATGCATTCATCCATAGCTTGATGTGATTGTGAGGGTGATATAGCCTCCATTACCTTTTACTACACATCTTGTAGGTGTATGTGCTTGTTCTCAATTTCTCCGTGTATGTTGAGAGGTGAACCACCACATTTACCTATACATCTCCTAGTATTTGTAGGAGCTACTATATATGTTCGCAAGACATTTGACGTTGATCATGGAGACTTTCACATTCTCTTACGTGACTTATGTGGATTTTACACATTGATTGTCGTCGTTCATATGCAGCTTGCACTATTATTAAGGGATTTTGTTCATCTGTTTGCAATTACATTTCTTGTCCTCTGCTTGTACCTTTGCCATATTTATTGCACATGATGGTGGACCCGTCATCATGGTCATCACATGCTTTTTAGTATCCTTCATTCTAGGAGATTTATTGAACATGCTATTGACTATCCACCATTCATAAGAGACCTTTCAATTCAACGCTTGCATTCTGATTGAGAGATAGTTTCATTGAAATCTTGATTATTCTTCAAGAAATCAAATTCTTCATCACTCTTCCATTTGATGTTCATTTGAATGTATGTCATATATCATGGGTCCTTTATTGATTTTGAAGAGAACTCATGTGGTAGATTCACATACTGATGTTTGTATGATGATCATTTGATATTTCATTGAAACTCTGCTATTAATTGTAGATACATCATTGCATCTCCCATTTCATTAAGCTATAGCTCATTGTTTGACATCTTTGAGTTTATCTCTATAATCACTCAAATTGAACTCTTTATGAATTAATTGAGTTGTGTGTCATCTTTGAGTTCAATGCAAGTTTGAGTCCACATCAGGTCCTTTGCTTGCATCAAATGTTTATGTTCATTTGAGAATTTAGGATTTTCATATTTTTAAGAGCATGAAGACTCAATTCCTTGCAGTCCGCATTGAGTTCAAGTGCTTATTCAGGATATTCTGAAGTTCTTTTGAGTCCTTTTGCATGTTCAATTTCATTTGGACTTGAGGCAGATGCTTACAAGTTCAAGTGTTATGTCCACAATTTATGAAATCCTTGCAAACTCATTTCATATTCGTATTGACTTGAATTTGGTTCAATTTTTGATTTTAATTTCATTTGGATTTGATTTTTTAGAAATCACTTGAGTTTTGTTCTGATTTAGATCCACAAGTCCTCTGTTCGTTGGAGTCAAAATGCTTGCTCTTTTAAGTTCAAACAGGTCCAAGTAGAGTAATATTTCACCCGAAATTTCGGCAGCCTCCCGACGTCTCCCCCATTTTGAGGAAAACTAGGGAAAACTGGGCCTCCCGCCACGCTAGAGAAAAGCGTGTACGGTAGGTGCCCTCTTACGAGGACACCGCGGCCGTGTAAAATTTTTGTCCCCACCACGCCAGAGAAAGGCGTGTATGGATCTTCGATACCTGTTGCAAAAGAAAAGCAGTTGTTTCCCCGCGAGCGGGTACTTATGAAAGAAAAACAGTTGTTTCCCCGCGAGCGGGTACTTATGGATATCCCGATCTCGTCGTATGCGTCGCACCAGGTTCCCATCCCACCACGCTAGAGAAAAGCGTGTATAGGCGATTTGCCGGCTCGACACGCACGTCAAGAACAGGACTTTAGGTGATCACCCGATTCGTTGAAAACACCGCGACGAACTTCCTCCCACCACGCTAGAGAAAAGCGTGTATAGGTGGTCGTTTGGTCGCGTTGCAAGTATCGAAAACGGGATCTCGGAGTTTTAGAGTTTAGAAAGGTTATACCTGCGCGGGGTCGTCAGAATGTTGATCGAGGGAGGGAAGCATTTTTTTTAATTAATTTAAAATAAATTAATTATAATTAAATTTAATCATAATTAATTATAACTATTATTATTTAATTATTATTAAAAATATATTTAATATATAATTAATCTGATTATATTTAATTATAAATAATTATTAATTAATTAATAAAATAAAACAATCATTCATAATTAAATTAAATTAATCATAAATGATTATAATTATTCATTAATTAATCATAATTAAAGTAATTAAATATAAATAATTAATTATATTTAAATATAATTAATAATAATTAATTAACATTATGATAATTAATTATTACTAAATTAATTTAATTATAACTAACTCTCTCTCTCTCTCTCTCTCTCTCTCTCGGTGTCGGGATCGGGCTCGACGGGAGGAGGCGAGTTCGCCTGGGTGAGGTCGGAGGAGGAGGTGTCGGTCTGCTGGAGTGGAGTTCGGAGAACCAGCCGTGGCTTGTAGTCGAGAGAGGAAGAAGAGAGCGGAGAGCCAGCGCCGAGTGACTTCGTTCGCTCGGTATTTAAAGACCTGAATGGGAGCGGGATCGAGGAGCTGTCGCGAGATTTGTGGGAGGCGATAGAAGCGGCCCTGAATACACAGAGATTTCAGCGGGATTTCTGCAGTATTTGCGCGGGTATAGATTTCGACTGTGCAAGGTATGCAGGAATTTTTTTTTTCTTTTTTTTGTTCTTTTACACATAGGTCAACATATAGTATCACCACAAACTGATCAATCCTGTTGTAGAACTAATTTTTCCTTCTCTAATGATAGCAAAAACCTAAATATACCATCATGCAACTATGATGGGGTAAAACAACTTAAGCCATAAGTTTTTCATTAGATTTTACAATAAAACTATTCCTGATTGAAATTTTCTGATTCATTCAAATAATCAGTAACTGTAGCTTTGACAGACACTCAAAAAATTAGATGACTAAGTCAAAATGGCTTAACATATTTAAATTGGCTATATCCTGACAATGCAAATAACCTTGTATGCTATTTGGTTATTATTTACGACACTATAATCTGATTTCTTTTTTTATTTACTATAAAGAATAGGAAGCTGGGCTGTAGCTTGTATTTTCTGTATCACCCCTTGCTATGCCATAAATGGGCTATGATAAACACAATGGACATCCTATAATGAACACCCTTAATATGCACGAATCTGCAACATGACTAGTTCATTTTGTTTGTTCATTGCAGACTGAGACAGGTGACGAGGAGTTATGCAGTGTTTACGTTCCTACAAATCATATGTACATTGGTGATATCTTTCTGGTCAACTCTGCAGAAATCATCAGACCAAATCTTTCTATTCGGGAAGGCATAGGTCAGACCTATTCAAATATCTCCCTAAATAGAATAAGCCTTTATTTGGATTTCAGGTTTTATAATTATTATTATTGAATAATTTCTCTACCATTGACAAATATTATTAATTGATTTTCATTGTCATTTGTTGATTAATTAGTTATTTAAAAATGTTGATAGCCTTTTGGTATCTGCCAGGAGAAGACATTTATTGTTGTGATACTGGATTTCTTGCTCTTTTTTTAATTTAGAAAGTTTGTGATGAGGACATCGGAAGATCAATGGCTATGATCTGGAGTTTATTTTATTTTTTGATGTGTCTTATGTACTAGTTATTTTTTTATGTTTTCCCATTTTACCCCTAGGGGTGGTCATGTGGTGTTGTAGCCCGAAGGGCGTTTTAGTCTTTGTTTCTTTTGTTTTCATGAGGCTTATTTATAGGCTAGCTCACTTGTAATTTGGATGATGAATATTGATATGAAATTTCAGCTTTTGTTTTGGATCTTTTTGTGAGTTCTAGAGAGAGTGGTGAAGCCTTTGGAGAAGGCAAACGAAGTACCCAACAGCCCACGACGGTGAGCTCTTGGTTGTGTGTTTATGTTCTTTCCCCCTTCTCCACCTCTACCCGCCGGTCAACCATCCCCATTCTCCCAAATTCGTCGGATTCAGCCTTTCCCCTCCCCTTCCAATTCAAATGGCGAGCCCACCAGCCGCTCATCCCTCCCTCTCCGCTACCCACCGTCCCATCCTCCCCCACCTGCAAGTAGCCGGCCACCCAAACAGCCCACCTGCCGGCTCAACTCCACCATTGGCCTCAATCAATTAGCCTTCATTAGTTTTCTTTTTGGGTTAGTTTTAAATTGGAAAGATTGTTACTCCAAATTCAAATTATTTTGAATTCAAAATCAGCTCAATTAATGTAATCCTCTCTTAGAAAACCTCCCAATTAATCCCCAATCTGACATTTAATTTCAGAGTTACTCCACAATCAATAATTATTGCTTAGGGGCCCCTCTACCTTTCTTTCAAGTTTTCCCTCCACGAAATTCTCTCAAACCCAAGCGGAACCCTTGTGATCTGCTCTCCAAGATTTCTGTCCAAAATTCCTGCACCGCTCCTAGCCCCTCCTGTCAACAAGACCCTCTCGAACTGCTGTTTAAAGAAGGACAGCCTGCAGTCCATCCATTCCAGCAAGGGGAAATCAGCCGTATTTGCTGCCATAAGCCCTCTAGTTGCTGCCCAGAAAGTTTTCATCAACAAAAACTGTTGTCCTGCTGCTCAGGAATCCTCCAACTGTTGTCCCAACTCTCCAAACAGGATCCAGACTGTTGTCCAGAGAAGATTCAGTCAAAGAAAGTGACTATCCAATCTGGGGACCTTTCCAAGTGTTGTCACAAAGTTCCAAGACCAAGATTTGGAAAAATTCTGCATCTCTTCCTGCTGTCCAGCCAGTCGGGAGATCTTCGTGTGCTGTCCTAAAGTTTCTGTTTGCTGCCCACCACATCAAGAAGGGTCTTGGTTGCCATCTACTTCATCTCAAGCACCCAAACAGCCACCAAAGTTTCTTATCTTCTATTTCTTTGGGTAAACGCTTCCTCCGACCATTCTATCTTTGTAGTTACTTCTCAATTGTGGTCTTAGTAGATTCATGAGAATAGTCTCAATACTCTTCCGCTAAAACTTAGTATTATTAGAGAGTTGAGTGAGGGATATCTCTTAGTGATTAATCTTATTGTTAGCATAGGGATTTATTGTTGAAACCATTCATGTATGCAATGCTAGATTAATTGATTGTTTTACGGCCTTAACTCCTATACATGTGGTTTAGCCTAAGATTGTCTTACCGCTCTTGTGTTTTATTTTGTCGCTTATAATCAATGTAAAGATATAATTATTCTGGTTTTTAAAATTAAGCGTGCAAATATTTAATCTAATCAACCTTGCATGTTATGTTTTACATCAGTTTGTTCTTTTGATTAAGGTGTTTCCAGGTGTTTAGTTAAACAAATGTTTGGAAGCTTAAAGCTGAATTGTTGATGGACAAATTTTTTCTATTATAAGCCCAATATTTATTATTTATGCTCAACTTTCGTACTCTATCTTTTTCTACTTTGTTATATCCATTTACAATCAGGCTGAGATTAACCTTCTAAGAAGCTTGTTGCTTATTTTGCCTATTAGTATGCCCTTGTTTCAAGCGAAAACTAGATTAGCTTGAGTGATCTCAAGTTTTGTTCAGTGCGACACATTAAGTAAATGAATCCATCTTTGCTAGCTAAACGTCTTTTAAGCTGAAGATTAGTCGTTTGCAATTATAGCCAACAGACAATATAAATACACACTCAAATCTATTGACATTCATGTTGACCTCCGCACATCCACCAAATCAGTGCGAGCGAAGGCGACAAAAGTGATAATCGATGAGCGCAACGCTTCACTAAACTATCCAAACAATCTCTGATTGCTGAATAGACCACACCGATGCAATCAAAGCGTCGAATTTAGCCAAGGGAGGACCCATCACAGTTAAATTAAACGAAGGTTGTCGAAATCGACAAAATTACAGGCGTGATGACACGCGACATTGCTCAAACTACGTCTATTTGTAAAACGGATTTCTCCGTTGCATTCGAAACTTCGACAACACCTAAGAATGATTATAACATCACCTGGGTTCTTGAACAAGAGAAAATGTGAATTTTGCGCAAGTTTCGAGGTGAAAACACCTAAATCAAGGTGCATATAATGAAAAATCAAAATGAGGATAATTGTGAGTCCTATAAAATATTGATTTTGTTTATAATTATAAATTGTTTATATATAATATTAAAAAAAAAATAAAATAAAATAAAATAACCCTTGCTCAAATCCTTGTATACCCGACTGCCCATCCTCATTTCCCACCGAAAATCTTGCTCAAATCCCAGTTGAATCCCTGCAGATCGGCGCCAAAACTTTCTCCTCACGCGTGCTCCCTCTCGTTTTCAGGCATACGAGCTCTATTCCTCTCAGTCTCATGCTCATTTCCTCGCTGTCGAACTCCAGAACCAAGCCCTCTTCCCGTCATCCCTGCCAGCTGAACATCTCCTTAAAACCAAACCTCCCAGCTTCGTCTGATGTTCTACCCTTGTCCGATCCCGTCAACCATGCTGAATCACTTTCTCCCGTCGAACCACTCGCCCGACCGAACCTCCTTGCTAAAGCCCGCATCGAGCCTGACGCTCTTCAATATGTTTGCACCAAGAGCCTCTCAATCTCAGTTGAGAAGTCCTCTATCCAACTGTTCCCTGTCGCGCAACCCAAACAACCCGTCGGACCCAACTCTCGACCGATCCTTCCAATCTCCTCCTTTCTTCCCCACACGAACAGCCGAACCTGTTGCACCTTACACTTCTTCCCTTTCAGCCGAACGCTTTGCCCTCCATTCGAATTCCCCCAGCTGTACTTAGCCCGCCTCCACTTCATGTCTATCCACTTGACATCACACATGAACTCCAATCCCGCCGCAACTGCTGATTGAGCCCTCATGACCTGCAGCCGAGCAAGCCTACAGTTCGAGCACCCTTACTTGACCCAACCACAGTCAAAGCCGACCAGCGCTCCGACCCCTTAACCTGCACGATCCATCTCTGTTCTTCTCATTCCAACATCACACTCGCATCCAAACCAACCCAGCAACAGTCTAACAACCCTCTGCCCATTTCTCTATAATGAAAATTTTAATGTGTTATGATTAGTTATGTTAGGATAGTTTGAATAGACTACTTTTTACCTATCTAATTTTGATATTAGTGTTTTAGAATAGGTTCTTGAAAAGAAAAGAATTAATAATGCTTATATTCAAATCATTAAAGATATATATGCAGGAGCTATTACTTGTGTTCAAACACAAGGTGGTTTGATCAAGTATTTCCCTATTTCGGTTGGGTTACATCAAGGATCCGCCTTAAGCCCATATCTTTTTTCTTTAATCATGGATGTTCTCACTAGACATTTGCAAGAGGATGTACCTTGGTGTATGCTTTTTGCTGATGATATTCTTCTTGTTGATAAGACTAGAGAGGGAGTTGAAAATAAACTTGAATTATGGAGGTCTACATTAGAGACTAAAGGTTTTCGCTTGAGTAGATCTAAAATGGAATATATGGAGTGTAATTATAGTAGTAGTAGACCTAGTGAGGGGATTGTGACTTTGGACGATCAAGTCATTAATAAGAGTACACGTTTTAGATATATTGAATCTATTGTTCAGAGTGATGGTGAAATTGATGGAGATATTATCAGCAGAATTCAAGTTGGATAGTTGAAGTGGAGGAATGCATCGGGCTTGTTGTGTGATAGAAAAGTACCCCTCAAACTTAAGGGAAAATTTTATAAGATGGTAGTGAGGCCTGCAATGCTTTATGGTGCTAAATGTTGGTCATTAAAAGAGAAGCATAATACTAAGTTAAGTGTGACAGAGATGAGGATGCTCAGGTGGATGAGTGGCTATACCCTTAGAGATAGGATACGAAATGAGCATATACGTGGAAAGGTTGGAGTAGCTCCAGTAGAAGATAAGATTAGAGAGAGTCGCCTTAGATGGTTTGGTCACATAAAACGGCGGCGTTCCAATTACCCGGTTAGGAGAGTAGAGGTATTAGATTTGACTTATGTTAAGAAAGGTAGAGGCAGACCTAAAAAGACTTGGTTAGAAAATATTAGGAATGACCTTTCTTTATTAGATTTAAACGAGAATTTGACCTTTAATAGGACACAATGGATAAAAAGGATTCATATAGCCGACCCACGTAGTGGGATAAAGGCTTTGTCACGACCCGGCCCGGTTAACTCGCAAGTGCGAGACGGGATCAAAGGTCGGACAGGATGAAAAGTAAACTTTCATAGCATAACATCCAATCATTTAACATAAACCAACATCTTCAATTATAAAATAAAAAGAGCCACTAAAGTAAATCCAAGTAGAATTTTCATTTCTCATTTATCTTTCAAAAGGAATACACATAGAGAGTTCTTCCA